AGCAACCTAGGTGTCCATTCCATCAATAGATGAATGGATAAAGAAGAGGTGGTACATATAAAAAATGGAATACTACTCAGCCATAAAAAAGAATGAAATCCTGCCATTTGTGACAACATGGATGGACCTAGTGAAATAAGTGAACTGCTAAGTGAAATAAGTCAGACAGAGAAAGACAAATACTGTATGATCTCATTTATATGTGTAATCTAAAAACCAAAACTAATGGGCCGGCCAAGTGGCACATTGGCTAAGAGTCAGCTTGGGACGCCAGCTCTGAGCAGCAGGGCTCTGGTTCGGATCCCACATGAGGGCCAGTGACGTTGCGCCCTCTACAGCTAAGATGGTGAACGGTGACTTGACCTGGAGCTGGGCTACCATGAGTCCCCGGCGATGCTGTAGGCTACAGTGGAGCTGCAGTGGGCTCCCGTATGCTACCGTGAGCAGTCGGCAGCTGACGTGAGCTGCCAAGAGCCACCGTGATCGGCAGTCCAGTGGCTGACGACTGATCTGCCTCACCCGGGAAGAGCACAATGATAATACCAACATGGGCCAGTGAAGCAACGTCCTCCACAACTAGACTGAAGAACAAAATGACAGCAACTTATCTGTTCCCCTTCCCCAATTCCCCAACACTGTTCCCCTCCCCCAATTCCCAGTAAAATCTTTAAAAAATAAAAAACAAAACTAACAAGTACATAAATAAATAAAGGCTCTGAGAAGACCTGTGTGGGAGGACCCGCTCCAGCTTTGTTTAATCCCACAGCTATGTAGCAGGGCCTTGAGGGTCCACTGTTCCACACAACATATTCTGAGCATCAATAGCCCCATTAAATGCCCATCGTGAGAGCCCAGAGGGGAGGTAGGCTGCAGAGGAACCAGATCTGCTGGGAGTGAGTAGGAGCGGCCCCAGCCAGGCCTGTAGGCTCTGCATGCCACCCTTAGCCAGGCCCCGAAGCGTCCCCACCCAAGGCACTGCGGAAATGAGGGCCCATCTCCTTAGTGTCCGTGCCTCGTCTCACTGACCCCTAGTCCCTGCCCAAGACCCCAAGGCCCCCCCTGAAGCCATGTTTCCTGCTCCTTAGTCCACAGGCCATGGTGGGGTTCCCTACCCACAGAGACAGCACAGGCATTTGTCAGTTAACAAAATGCCATGTTGGTTACATTGTAAGTTACAAGGAAAGCAGTTAGCATGATGCCATAGATGGCAACAGGCTCCTTCATATCTTTTCTCTGAACAGGGCATCAGATTTGAATCATGGAATCATGGATCTACTACATAGGAGCAAGTGTGGTCCTGAGAGTAAACTAAGCTCATGAGACGCCACCTGGAAAATGAGTCAGCAAAGGTGCCCAACACTGGGGGACTGCGGAGGTTCCACAAGAGACAGCTCACGGAGCACCAAACACAAGACCTAGCCCACCCTTCCGCTTCTATGTCCTGTCTGCTCACAGCCTTCCAGGACCCCCATCTCACTCAGGGTTAAAGCCCAATTCTTGCAGTGGCTCCAGGCTTCACACAATCTTCCCCATCACTTCCTTGCACACACTCCCTCCCCACCAGTCATACAGGCCTCCTTATGTTACTTGTTCAGGTCACTTGAACAAATCAGGCATGATCCAACCTCAGGGCCTCTGCCTGGACACTCTTTCCCCAGTATCCCTCACTTAATTCGAGTCTCTGCCTAAATGTCACCGCCCCTCAAGTGGCATTCCCCAACTTCCCTCTCTAAAATCACCTCCCCTCCTTCCTCTGTCCTGACCCAACTTTATTGTTCTTTATCACCAAAAATGGAATATATGTATCAACTTGTTGACACGTGATCTTTGACACATGTCAATAAATGTTATGACATATCTTATAATATGATAGAATGTAAGCACTGTGAGAGTAGAGACCCTGTCTTGTTCCCCTGCCTACACCAGCAAGGTACATAGTAGATGTCCAATAAACATTTGTGGTGTGCAGAGGCCACTGTTGCCAGGTACGCTGTGATGGGTGGAGACGCCTCTGTGGGTCCTTGAAACCTGGCAGCCTGGATAGGAAAGAGGGGTCATGGGGGCTTCCTTAGGAGGGAGGGGGGAATGGTGGGTCTAGGGCAGCGGTTCTCAACCTGTGGGTTGCGACCCCTTTGGGGGTCGAATGACCCTTTCACAGGGGTCGCCGGGTACTCGTATGTGGGTGTATCGGCATGTGGGCCTGGAGACGGATAGAGGAGTGGTGTCACGGTTCCTAAGACCATGGAAAATATGTATTTTCCATGGTCTTAGGCGACCCCTGTGAAAGGTTGAGAATCGCTGGTAGAGGCTCCCTCCACTAACAATGGTGGGAGAGGAGAGGACCAACCCCAGCAGCCTTTGCACAGGCTGCTTTCTGTTCCCGGAACAGCACCCACACCCTTCCTTTGGCCAGATGCTGCAGGTCCCCTCAGATGTCCCCCTCTCGCAGAAGTGTTCCTCCCCAGGCTGAGTCAGGCACCACCTCTGCTCTCCCACGGCCTGAGCTCCCCCATCACAGTCCTGATGGCCGTGTATGACCATTTTCTGTCTGCTCCTCTGTCTCTGACAGGGCTGAGCTCCCCAAGGCAGAGCCTACAGCTGTCTTGTTTCTCCTGTAGCCCCTGCTGCCTCCCAATAAACACTTGTCACCCAGGCAACAACAACAGCCTCTGTGCCAGGGACTTGATGGTACCTCTTAGGAGCGTTATCCATTTAATCTAATCCTCACCTCACCTCCATTCACTGCTAGTCCCATTCCTCCTCAGCTAAAGAAACTGAGGCTCAGAGGGGTCAATGTCATGTCCAGAACCATGCAGCCTGCAATGGCAGTCGGGATTTGAACACAGGTCTCTCTCACCCAGCAGCCGGCATCAACCACTCTAGTCCATCAGGACAGTGGAATCCCCAGTTCTGAGATGAGTGGCCAGGGGCTCCCCCACCCCCAGACCCCATGCTAACCCAGGTGTCGCTGTCCCCTTAGCTGCCTTCAACTGTCAGGGCCCAGGCTGTTGGGGGATCAGGGGCAGGTCCCCACATCCAGCAGACTCCCTAAGTGTCTGTTGAGTGACTGGATGATGCCATGAGACCAGCACCCCCCACCCCCACTCCAACCTCTGCTGCCTGGGTTTTAAGGGCTGTGTGACTGCAACAAGGAGCTCTCCCTCTCTGTGCATCAGGCTCTGTGACTGTAAAAGGTAGATGGGGAAAGGCTTAGGGTATGAGTCTGGAGGATGGAGATGTGGGGACAGCATGGTCCTGTGCATTGTAGGGTGCTTAGCAGCATTCCTAGCCTATAGCTACTAGGTGCCAGTAACACCCCCTGGGACATGACCCAAAATGTTCCCAGATGTTATTGAATGTCCCTGAGGGACTTGGGGGAGGCAGAATTGGCTCTGTCTTAACTCTACGCTGTGGGGAGCGGCCGGGAGTGGTCAGCATGGAGCAGTCTGTCTGCTGCAGCCCCCAAGAGGGTGTAGGATATGAAGTCCAGAGCCTGAGGCCACCAGGAGCGAGGAATGGTCATCAGAACTACAGCTGACACTGGAACTATGTGGGTTTGAACTGCATGGGTCCACTTACATGCAGACTGTTTTTAATAACTTGTATAGTCGGCCCTCCGTCTCCCGGGTTTCACATCCACGGATTCAACCAACTACAATCCAAAACAGTGTTTTTGATCCATGGTTGGGAATCCGTGGATGCACAGTACTGATTGTAGGCATTGTTTTAGGACATTTTATGTACCGGACTTGAGCCTCCACGGGGCTCCTGGAACCAGCCCCCATGGATACAGAGAGATAACGGTGGAGTCAAATGTTATAAATGGATTTCCAACTGTACGAGGGTCAACAACCCTAACCCCATATTGTTCAAGGGTCAACTACAGCAATATGCGTATATAGCACCTACTATGTGCCAGGCACCCGAGACATATTCACTCACCTAATCCTTGTAAGAACCCTGTGAGTGAAGGATTTGGGACTGAAGAACACAGAGGTGGAGAGTGCTTCACCTCTGTGTGCCCAAGGTCACACAGTGCACACAGTAGGTGGCAGAGCCAGGACGCAAATCCAGGTTTCCTGCTCCAGTGTGTGAACTTCAACACTGCCCAGTATCCCTGCCAGGCTGTGTGCCTGAGGCTGGAGGACAGGTGGGAGGAGGGAGAAGCAGCTCTGGAGTGGTAGGAGAAGAGCCTTGGCAGGTGGCACCCAAGGACTTTCCCCCAGGAGTCCCTGACTCTAGTCTCTCAGCCAAGCTTTATTAACACCTACTGTGTGCTCGCTGCCTTGGCTGAAACAAGAGTAACAAAGATCACCTTGAGTTGTTTACCACACGAAGCCCTTATCCTTTCTGCCAAGATCGTTTCCTGCCTTGGGCGCCTCTCAAACCTCTCACCCAGCAGTCAGCAGCCAAGCACCTACCAGGTGCCAGTATTTATATCTGCATGTAACAGATGTATAAACTGAGGCTCATAAAGGCCAAGAAACTTGCCAAGGACACACAGCAATTGAGCAGGATTCAAGCTGTTTGCTCCTTTGCCTCTCTGGGTCGCCCTTTAACCTGAGCTGCCCTACAAGTGGCTCAAGCCTGCCCTGGACTCCTCATGGGACTCATCGGCGTTTTGTTGTTCAAATTCACCGCCCTGTTGGGCCACCCTCATGTTCATGCGGCCTGGGGCCACAGCATAGGTTCACTTTCTCTGGAGGTTTCTCTGCTTCCTGGAACCAAGCATGCTGCCCTGGCAGGGCCCAGCGGGAGGCCAGGGACTGAACAGGCACCTCTGTGTCCCCAGGACACTTCCGCTCCGCTGAGCCTCTGGAAGGGGAGCTGCATCCCTCGGGGTGGCCGTGTCTGCTTCCTTCTCCAGCTGGACACCACCCGTCCCAGTCTAACAGCCCTCTTGGTCTTTCCCAGTGGCCTCCAGATTCTGTCCTCCTCCACCAGACCCAGGCCACCCCTGGAGACAGCAGCCAGCTGCTGTTCCAACCATGATAACTTACCTGGGGATGTGTAGATGGATGTCCAGTCAAACGGGCCACTGCAAGGTCTCTGGTCCCCAACGCAGATACCCAGCTGGCTCTAGATGAAGAATGAGGGCCCAAGAAACGAACTTGGGTTTTTCTGCAGCCCAAGCCCCCAGCCCGAGGCCCCCGCTGGCTAACCACCCTCTATCAGGCAAGGTGTAAGGAGGTCCCACCCTACCAGGGTTTCTCACTGGGGAGAGTATTATTCACTCTCTGCCAGCTGCCCCAGAGTCTCCTGGCGTGGCCGTGCTGGCAGGACGGAAGCAAAAGCCAAAGGATGGTCACTCGCCTGGACGCAGCAGCAACAGCACGAAGGCCCCAGCTGGGTAGCAACCTGGGCCGGAAGGCCTGGTGTGCTTTTAGCAGCGGGTTTCTCTGACACTCAGCCTATTTCCTTGATGCAAAGACAGGAAAGGGGGCTGTGTTTGAAGCTTACGTATAAGTCATAAAGTGCTGTGTTCAAGGAAAATCACAGGCCATGTGCTCCGGGGAGGGCAGAGGGCATTTCCGGGGCCGGGCAGGGCCTGCCCCAGCGGGGTGGAGGCAGGGGATGTGCAAGAATGGTGATTCCAACAGCACCCCCAAACCTCGGGAGTGGGAGGGAGAGGAGCTGTGCTAGAATTGGCGGGGGACAGCGGCAGTGGGAGGGGGATCCCCAGGACTCATTGGAAACTGGAATACCCTCACTTTTCCTTCCCAAGGGGACATGGACACAGGCCAGCCCCTGACTGAACTGCCCTTATGAGTGATTCATTATTTATTCCACGGGCAGGTTAAAGCTATACAGAGGAGAAACCTACAAAGTCAGTTCATACCTCAAAGTTTCCAAGCACCTTCTGTATGCCAGGCATTAGGACAGCAATGACAGCCATGTGCCTGCCTTCAAATGGCTTCAGGCTAGAGAAGGAGGCAACTGAGTCACTAGGGAGACAGGGCATGGGTGGCAGAAACCTGGGCACTGTGTGGCTGATCACTGCCTCCTGCTCTGGCCACAACCGCTTCCTCATCCTCTTGCCCTCCCTTCCCCACACTGGCCCACCCTGTGATGGCACACACCCACCCTTTGACCAGGTAGCGCACTTCTCATTGCTTCCTCAGTGGCCTGCACAGCGCCTGCCAGAGTCGTGCCTCCAGGTCGTGCCTCCAGGTCTCTGGAGGCTCTCTCACCCCCATTCCCTTGCCCTCTTGGCTCTGTGTGGCCTCAGGGCCCTGTATGGGGCTGTCCTAGGTCCACTGTTGAGATCCCAAGAACCTTCCTTCTCTGGGTCCTGCTGCCCTGAGGGAGGTGGGCTCAGCTCCCCAAACTGACAGCCATTTCCTACATGCTGCACCCCAGGTCTCCTTTCCTGGGGACCCTCTCCCCATCTCTGCTATCCTCCAGTTCCCTGAACCTCTCTTTCCCCACTCAGGAAATCCTTCTTCTGGGGTCCAGGCTGGGATACTCTTCTACACAGATTTCCTCTAAAACTACTTTTTGTTAGAAGCCTTCCCTTTCCCCATAGCCATCATGAAACTCAGGATGCAGAAAAATATCGTTTTGTTTCCATACTGGACCCCCCCTTTCCTGGGGTAGTAAGAGAAGAATGCCGCAGGCTAGGAAAGGACAGGTCACAACATCAGAACCTTTACCCTACAGCAGTAATAACAGCAGCACTTACCCAGCACCTACTATGTGCCAGACAACCCTGTAAGCAGTTCACAAATTAACCCATTTTCCACATAAAGTAAGTGAAGCCCAGAGAGGTTAATTAACAGATGCCAAGTGGCCAGGTGGGATTGGAGGTGGGGTCTGGCTCCACAGCCCACCTCTGGACACAGGAGGAGGATAGCTCTCTGTGAGCCAGCCTCCCAGAGACCTAGAAGGAGAGAGAGCAGGCTGCATGTGGGGGCTTCCAGTCTGGGGTCTTCTGGCCTGAGAAGGGGACTGACTCCCAGCCTCTGAGAGGCACTGGCTTAGCAGCCCTCGAGCCCCCTTCCGGTCCCAGAGGCCGCCTCCTGAAACTACCTAACCCCAGATCAGCATTCTGAGATGGGCCTGCAGATAAGTCTGTGAGTTCTGCCCAACTGGAGATAGGTGGACGCGCCTCTTGAACATTCAGAGGAAAGAGCAAACAGGATGGAAACGTGGGCTGGGAACGTTGTGGTGAATTTGCCTGGGGTGGGTTGGGTAAATATTTACTCCAGACATGCAAAGAGCCTCAGAAGAAATTGATTGCTCACTCTCACACACCCAGGCCTCTGCCCACGCTATTCTCCGGCCTGAACTCTTTCCTCCCACCTGTTATCCTGTCTGACTCCTTCTCCTCCACGTCTCTGGCTCTACGTGGCTTCCCCAGGAAGCCTTCTGAGCCTCAGACTGGGCGGGTGGGGCTCTGTGTCAGTTTCACCTGATCTTTACTCAGGCCAGATTTGACGCCAGAGTTAAAAGGACCCCAGGCCAGGGAAACCTGCAGCAGGGGGGCTGGAGGGATAGGGCTCACACCTCAGAGCAATGATCCCCCAAGGGAGGACAGCCACTCTCCCCAGGGCCCCTCCTCAATTCCTTCCCACCTGGGAATCTTCAGCCATGAAGCTCACCTGACTTTCCTCTGGATGGTCAGACAATGGTGATTTTTCTCTTATTGTTGTTGTTTTCTGCTTCTGCCACTTACAGCCCAGGGACCTCAGTAAGTTCCTTGACCTCTCTGTGCCTTCGTTTCCTCATTTAGGAAATGGTACCTATCTCATAGGGTTACTGTGAAAATTAAAAACAGACCCTAAAGCACATGCACTATTATTGCTATCATTGTCGTCGTTATCATCTCTTGATTTTCCCACTTTTTTATAATGTGCTAGTGACTGCCAGTCCAAGGGCAGCAACGGGACTCCCTTGCCCCCTCCAGGGACTGTTCTCAAGTATTGCATCCTTCCAAGTGCAATTCAGGAGCCTAGAGGTTAAAAGTGAAACCTATCCCCACTCTACTGCACCCTCCCCACCAAAAAAAATTATGGTAATCCAACCTGGTTTAAGTCAGAAGAGAAGCGATTGGGCACAACAGAATATATGTGCTCTCCCCTGGGGGTCATCAAATGTCTGGCTCCTTAAACATTTAAACTGCATTTGGGGCTCCCTATTTATTTAACCCTGAGCCCTGCTCTATGCTAGACTCTGTTCTAGGTACTAGTGGTCTGCTGTCAACAACTCATATGAAAATCCCTCCCTTGTGGAGCTGACATTCTAGTGAGGGTGAAAGAGAAATAACAAAATAAGTATTCTATAGACTATATCAGGTGGTTTCAACGCTGAGGACTAAAATCAATCGGACAGGGGAGAAGAGGTGTATGGGCATGTGATTTGGAACAGAGAGGTCAGGGCAGGCCTCACAGAGGAGATAACTTGTGAGTCAAACCCTGACGGAGGTGCAGGAAGGAGCAATGAAGACATCAGAGGAAGGGCATTCCAGGCAGAGTGAACAGCACGTGCAAAGGCCCTGAGGCAGGACCAAGACCTCTATGAGGTGGGCGTGTCTCATTCCTGGCTCATCCCCAGCAGCGGAGTGGCACTTGGAACACAATAATGTTCAATACCTATGGAATGGGTAGAGAAAAAGCCCTGGTGTGGGCTTTGGAAACGTTTGCTCAGGGTTCAAATGCTGGCCCGAGGGTTGCCGCCTCCTCCATCTGTTGGTTTCATTCTCAGACAGCTTTTCTTCCTGTGGTCCAAGACAGCGACTCAGCTTCAAACGCACTTGAGGAGCAAGAACTTCACTCAGTGCTGCCGTAAAAGTCCCAAACAGTTCATTGGCTGAAGGGATCACATCCCCATCCCCCAGCCAGTCCCTGAAGCTAGTGGATGGGCCATGAGTGGCTTAGGACCAGGCCGCATGCTCTAGCACACCACACTGAGACAGGGAAAACCCCAGGGAAGTCAGAGGCTATGGTTGGAAGTGGGGGGAAGGGGCTGGGCAGGCACAGAGCCAGAGTTTCACAAAGTAATCACCACAGTCCCAAGAAGCAGGCTAGCCCATTTTACAGATATAGAAACTGAGGCCAAGAGGTTTCACAAAATAGCTGTTAAGTGACAGAGCCTGGGATCTCCCAGTTCAAAGGGAGCCCAGAGCCCCCACAGGGCTGGATCCTGCAATCTCCATGCCACTGGGTGCCCATCTCTCCCCAAACCAGGAACAGGCTGCTGGGGCAACCACTGAGCTGACAATGGAAGCCCTCAGCGGGAGAGCACACTGAGAAGGCGAAGGGAGATACCTCTTTGATAAAGAGGGAGATGGAAGGCAGCTCAGGGCAGGCTGCCTGGGGGCCTGCAGGTAACGGGAGGACTTCTGGCAGAGGCTAGAGGCGGCTGACTCCACTTATTCTTCAAATGGCAACCCGAGGTAGGGACAGGAGGCCAACAGGAATGTGGGCTGCCTGTCAGGTCTGGGGTCCCATGAGGTTGGGATGAGGGTGGGGGTACCACCTGTTGGGAGCCAAGGAAGAATCTGGTGTTTGTGGCATTCTTGCTGCATACCCAGACCCTGACAGATGCACCTCACTGCAAGCTCAGGAGGATGCCAGCCACCTGCTGTGAGGAAGGCCACTCTACCTCCTCTCCACAGTGTCCCCAGCACCCAGCCCAGCAGTGCCAGGCACACAGCCGGTGTTCAGTAACTGTGCTGCTGAGCGAATCACCCAATAGCCCTGCAAAGGACACAAATTTCTGCCCCCTTTCCCAAGACGAGGAAACCGAGGCCTAGAGAAGGTCGCGGAGTTCAGCTGGGCCCAGCTTCCCAGGGATCATGCCTGGAGTTGTGAGATCTGGGGCAGTCAGGTGTCAGGCAGAACTGGCCACACACCCATCGCTACCTCTCCCTCCTGAGACACCTGTGCTCTACAGGCACCCAGAGGCCTGTGAGGCAGCATTCGCTCTTTCCCTCTCTGGCCTCAGTTTCCTCATCTGTGAAAGGGTCATGCCCTTCTCCCAATGAAGGGGTTACATCAGAGGCCAAGGGCAGGCCCACACAGGGAGCTTCCCACAGAGAGCTCTGGGAGGCAGGTGAGTCGGGGCTTGTTTGCTGTGCCTGGCAAAGGGAGGTGCCCCACAAATGCTTGCTTGAAGGGGGCTGGGACTCAATAAATATCAGCTGTTGTTGCTGCTGATGGGGAGAGGGTTCTCCCCTCCCGCCCTCCACCCCCCACGTTATTCACCAGTCCCAGGCAGTTCTCCCCAACCCTCTCCTGTCTCACCCTCCCCTGCTCCCACCCCTCCTCCATTCAGATCTCCTCCACACCATTTCCCTCCTCCTGTTTTCTTCCCACCCCACTGCCCTCCTCTCTCACACCAACACCCAATTCTTCCTTCCTCCTCCCCACCCAACCCCCCCTACTTTATTCCCCCGGCCCTGCTCCTCTCAG